TGCGTCAGTAAATAGGCTCCTAATGTGCTGGCTTCATCTCCGAGCCAGCCAAGTGTTACAAAAAGACAACAGCAGCTCCCAATCCGTTGGCAGCATCCCTTCACACAAGGAGTTATGTTAGCAGGGATGCAGCCTACATATCAGGAGCTGCTGTCATCTTTTTGTAACCGACTATGCATGTTTGTTATGCATAAGCCTTTCCCTGGTGCCAGCAAGCAACGTGTTGGGCACCAAACATCCAGACAGTAGTACCGAGCGCTTGAAGAGGTCCATCCTTTATATAAAATTCAGAAATGTCTGCATGTTACCTTTAATGCAATTTTAAAAATACACAAAACATTTTTTTTTTTAAAGTATTCAGACCTCTTCACTTATTTTAATTTGGTTATGTTGCAGCCCGATACTACACTTGCTTAAATTCTTTTTCCCCTCATTAATCTACACTCAGTACCCCATCATGACAAAGTGAAAACAGAATTTTAGAAATGTCTGGGAATTAAAAAGAAAAAAACCTGAATCACCACATGTACATAGCATTCCTACCCTTTACTCAGTACTTTGTTGAAGCACCTTGGGCAGTAATTACAGCTTCCAATCTTTTTGGGTATGACACAACAAGCTCTGCACACCTGGATTGGGGGATTTTCCGCATTCTTCTTTGCAAATTCTCTCAAGCTCAGTCAGGTTGGATGGGGACCATCAGTGGACAGCCATTTTTTGGTCCCTCCAGAGATGTTCAATAGGGTTCAAATCAGGGCACTGGCTGAGCCACTCTAGGACATTCATGGAGTTGTCCCTAAGCCACACCTATGTTGTCTTGGCCGTCATGTTGGAAGGTGAACCTTCGGCCCAGTCTGAGGTCCTGAGCGCTGTGGAACCGGTTTTTATTAAGGATATATCTCTGTACTTTGGTCAGGGTTGAGGAAAAGCTGAATGGAGCAGTCTCCCAGTGCCTGCTGTTGAAACCACCACAGCATGATGCTGCTGCTGCCACCACCACCACGCTTCACTGTGGGGATGGTATTGGGCAGGTGATGAGCGGTGCATGGTTTCCTCCAGACACAACATTTAGAATTGAGGCCAAACAGTTCAATCTTGATTTCATCAGACAAAATAATCTTGTTCCTCACAGTCAGAGTTCTCCAGGTGCTTTCATGTGTTTTGCACTGAGGAGAGGCCTCTGTCTAGCAATAAAAGGCCAGATCAGTGGAGGGCTGCAGTGATGGTTGTGCTTCTGGAACTTTGCTCCCATCTCCACACAGGATCTCTGGAGCTCAGCAGAGTGACAATGGGGTTTTTGGTCACCTCTAAAGGCCCTTCTCCCCAGATTGCTCAGTTTGCCTGGGCGACCAGCTCTTGGAAGAGTCCTAGTTGTGCCCAACTTCTTCCATTTGAGAATTATGGAGGCCACTGTGCTCTTGGGAACCTTCCGTGCAGCAGAAATAGGTTTGTAACCTTCCCCAGATCTGTGCTTTGCAATAATCCTGTATCTGAGCTCTGCAGGCAGTTCCTTTGACCTCATGGCTTTTGCTCTGATACAGTATGCATTGTCAGCTGTGAAGCCTTCTATAGAAAGGTGTGCACCTTTCCAAATCATGTCCAGTCAATTTACCATATTTTTCGCTCCATAAGACGCACTTTTTCCCCCCCAAAAGGCAGGCAAAAATGTCTGTGCGTCTTATGGAGTGAATGTGTGAGAGCTGAGGGAATCCCTATCTCCCGACACCCGGGACATGCAGTTTCGGGCGCCGGGCGAGTATTTATTTTTGTACATTAAGCCCTGCTCCTGACAAGCAGAGCTAAATGTATAGTCTGCTCTGTGTGCTCCCTGAGACCGTGGTGCTGTAATCACAGCGCCACCTGTCTCAGCTGTCACTAACTACAGCTGTCACAGAACCCTACCCTCCCTGCGTCCTATGGTCAGGTGCACCTTATGGAGTGCAAAACACGTAATTCACCCCAGGTGGGCTCCAATCAAGGTGTAGAAACATACCAGCGACAATCAAGAGAAATGGGAGGCACCTAAGCTAAATGGCAAGTGTTGCTGCAAAGGGTCTGAATACTTATGTCAATGTGATATTTCAGTTTTTTATTTTTAATAAATTCACAGACATTTCTAAAAGTCGGTCTTCACTTTGTCATTATGGGGTACTGAGTGTAGATTAATGAAAAGAAAAAAAACTATCAGGCTGCAACATAAACTTGAAAAAAGTGAAGGGGGCCTGAATACTTTCTGAATGCACTGTACATACAGTTTCTGCTGTCTTGTGTTTGAAGGTGCAAGCTCCAGCATGGTCATCCTTGCTTTAATACTTCAGTTGTAACTGGTGCACATTCCTTAAGTGCAGGTTAGTTGGTCATATAAAAAGCAGATCTTAACACACAAAAAATAAATAAAATTGTGGGCACCCCCTGCTCTAGAGTTTATATATTTCTCATGCCATAGCTCTTCTATGCCTAGACCGCAAGTGTAAACTAAAAATCCACTTAACTTCACCCTTTACCTTTCTCCACTGGCTGGAATTATTGAGGTTTTCTACTGGCCAGCACCACTTGAAATATTTTTTTTGATCTTTGCATTGTTTTAAGGTGCATGCAAAAAGAGTCCAGTTGAGTCCCCCACTGTAGGATGAGCTGGTGGAAATTTTCAGGGTGCACAGCCCAAACCAATTGTCTTAGCTGATTCCTGCAGCTCTGGATATCTGCAGTAGTGTTCAAAGACCCCTATAGGTGAGGAGCTGTTGAAAAGGTCGTACTCTTCTCTGCCCGTTAAAACACGTTTGCATGACTTCTGATCCAAAGAGACTTTTCCTCTAATGTGGAGGACGTATTCATTTTCTGCTTTCAATCATTGTTTTTCCTTCTGGTGAAGCAAACATTGTTTGAGATAACATTTCCGCGCACAAAGTTACTAGGACACTAGCTTTGTGGCAAGATTATGTACTGTACTGAAAGTGCACAGACACCCGCACTTATGTGCAATTCGGGCGACCATACGGCTGTGTACTCCCATAGAGAAGCACAGGCTGCGGTGTGCAATCACATGCAGCACCTGTCCTTCCCGGTAACGGCCCAATACAGCCCTGCACGCCGCATAGATCTGTACAGGCCGGCTCTTAGTAGTGTGAATGAGGCCTTAAGATGCAAGAGACATTCCCCAACATCACTGGGGTCTTTGTTGAGTTTAAAAGGAGAACTATGCGGTTAGGGCTTTTCCCCATAGTTCTCCTAAGGGTAACGGGCGGACACAAACTAGTATACTCCCGTCACCCAAAGCTCAGTATAGCGCGAGCTACAGCTCGCGGTATACCGAGACGCCGCAGCCGGGACGAATCCCGACATTACTGTCGAGATCCACCCAGCTGCGTGATTGACAGCTGGGTCTGCCTATCTAGAGGCAGAGCCAGCTGTGCCCACCCCGTCCGTTCCGCCAGTCAGCGCTGGAGGATAGGGAAGGGGGGGGAATCTCTGCAGGGACATGTTCGAGAAGTGAGCGACGGTATGTGTTCGCTCACTTCCTGATCTATTGAGCCGACCTGTGACAGTTTCATTGTCGCAGGTCAGCTAGAACTATGAGGCTGAGTGATTTTCACGCGCCTCATAGTTCTCCTTTTAAACAAACATACAGAAAACTTGATACACTCTCCTTATATATATTTTTTTTTTTATTAATAAAAAAACCAAACCAAAAAAACACATACCCTTTTCCTGCAGTCTTCTATCCTTCATAGCAGCTTGTTCCTCTGGCAGCAGCAGGCATTCTACCCGACACCTGTGTAATGATGGGCCCCCTCAGGAGGTATCTAAGGAGGAGGGGGGATCTGGGAACAGCATTGGAGCATGCAGAGGGCAAGTGAAATGGTCTTATTTTTTTATTGGGGTGTTTTAGAGAGAACCTAAAAAAACAAATCCCTAGTCTGAAGCAAACGTGTCTTAGAGTTTGAATCTGATTTGTCATACTAGAAGCAGAGAGGAAGTTACACATCACGTGCTTCACCAAGCACACTTCTGATCAGGTCATAAAGCGATTGTACTATGCAGAGAGTTCTCCAATTAAGGTGAATTAAAGAGACGTCTTGACATCAGCACTGTGTTTGTTACATCATTAGCAATTTATGGATGTGGTTTCACTTGTTGCCTAAAACTTAATTTTATAGCATGTGAAAAAATATCTTAAAACAAAAAAAACAACACTTAACATGGCTCAACATGGCTCTTCAATGCATGCACAATTTCTTAATGTTGGGTCTCTAAAAATAAAACAAACACACTCCAGTAAGTGTCTAACTTCCTAGACTTGACTGACAACATTACAACTACTGCAGTGAAAATCCAAGCAGTGTTGTCAGCCCTGGAAATAGGTGCTTGAATTCAGCATTTGCAGTCCGGAGGCATACTGAGGCCGGAGTGTATACACTGGTGCTACACTAAAAACATTGGCTCAATGTTACTGAGCTCTCTTCCGAGCAGCTGCACCTGTCACACAGGCAGATGCAGGAGGCTGAAAACGTATACTGTGAGTGGGCGGAGACTAATATGGAAATCTGGGAGCCTAGTTCCCCATCAGGTCTGCTCTGCTGCTCTTTAAAGCAACACTAAACTCAGGAGTTAAATGCAGCCAAGCACCCCATATAAAACTGAACCTTAATTGTGCATTGCTCAGCTGCAGATCCTCAAAACTCTAAATTTGTGCCAACACTGTCCTTTCCGGAGGGTGGCTACTTTTGTTGCTCATGGTCCGTGTGTGTGTGTTTTAAAGTAGCCACCACTCCAAGCTCGCTCCTGTAATAGACTGACCAATATAAATTAACTAAATATGGGATTGTAGTCCATCACAGGAGCGAGCATGGAGCGATGGCTACTTTACAACACACACAGGGACCATGGGGAACACAAGTAGCCCCCCTCCAGAAGGACAGCATCAGCACCAATTCAGAGAGGATTTGAGGATCTACAGCTGAGTGATGCACAAATAAGCATACATTTCTGTTACTAGTTAGGGTGCATGAAAGCATTTTTAAGCTTTAAAGTGATATTAAAGGCAACATTTTTCCCTCCCCCCAATGTAAATGTTAGCACTTACCTTAAATGATGTCTCTTATTCTGGTCTTCCTCTTCTTTCCCCATGTTTTCATGTGTCCCTCCAGCGGTGCGACGTCACTCCAATCCAGCGGTGTCTGCATGCGGGTGCACGCGTCCATAGACTTACCTTGCGTCTCTGCTAGCCTCCCGGCCGAGAATCGGAACTGCGCATGAGCCCGCCCCAAGATCCTTTGCGGCCGTACGAGCAGTTCCTGATTCTCGGCGCGGGAGCGAACAGCGATAACGAGGTAAGTTTAAAATGATTCAAACGTTTTTGTTTTTTTTACACTTCTTGCCTATATCTGCTTGCTAGCATTAGATATAAGCAAAAAAAAAAAAACCGGAGGGTTTAGAACCCCTTTAACTGCTGAGTTTAGTCTCACTTTAAACACATAGCAGGCTGATTATTGGCTATGGACTCCACCCATGGCCTGCTGTTAATCAGTAGCAGAGAGGAGCTAATGAGGAACTAGTCCCTCAAGCTTTGCCAAGATGCATGTCAGCCAGCATCTCGGGACCCTTTTGGTTTACATTTAGCTGCTGGCTGTGGAATCTCCTAGTCAGCCGTTGAATTGGGTTGGGGATGCATAACTGGTTGCTAAGACACCAGCATATTTAATGTGGCTATGAATGGGATGTTTTATTATCGGAGAAAGATGGAAACAAATATGTTTATATGGTTGCAACAATTAGGTCACCAGCCCACTGTTGCAATAAAAGTATTCTGAACAAACTGTGCCTCGTTATTCAAACAGTTTTTCGTTCACATTTGCCCACCAAAACATTAAATTGTAGGTTTCTACACCGAATTGTGATTGCCATCAGGGCTCGAGCACCCTTCTCTAAAATCGCTGCGAGGTGTGCCCACAGTTACAATGGCCGCTGGTGCTCTGTCCCCATCTTCTCCATCACAATCAGCACTCTGCAGCCACATTCACTTCCGCTGCGAGTGCCAAGTTAGTAGTGCTGAGCGCCGACTTGCAGCACAGCGTTCAGCCGCGGTTTGCCAACTCAGTACTCGCAGCAGCTGAGCAACTAAACGCACCTCAGTACATACATGACACACTCTGAGCAGTCACATTTCTGTATGCCAGATCAGAGTTGGTCTGCCAGTTTTCTAAACTGTAAAAGGGCCCACAATTTGTCTGTGAAACGGTTACAGCCATAACCGCTTCTTAAAGCGGCCCAATGAAGAACTGCCTCAAACTATCGCATGTGTCTGTAAAGCTACAGAAACTGGTGACAGGGCTTCCTTGAACCACCACAAAAGTGGTGCCAAGCCTTTACTGAATTCCGCCCAATGTGATTTCCACCACTGTAGGCCCTATGGCATTAGGCTCAGATTGTCTAGCTTTTTTGAGACTTAACATTTGCAGATGGCATATACATAACTAGGCCCAATGGGATGCAAGAATGGCTGCTGTCAATATGCAACAGGATTCAATAAACTTAGTGAAAGCACCTGGACTATATCTGGGTTTAGAAAGTCCATAGTCATAGTCCAGTTTCTATGATGGAGAAACGTTGGACTGATTTTATAAAACGCTTTTCAGAGGGGCAAAAAAAGAGCAACTGATCGTTATAAGGCCCTTCAGGTTTTCCATTGTTGGAGCAAAAGTACAAAGTAAGGTATACAAGATGTACGCTTCTACCAGAATACCACAATTACTTCTGTGATCAGCTTGGTAAAGCTATGCAGCTCTCTAGCATTCGCGTTCTGTGTGATGCACAAGACAGCCAAGTCTGCAGGCTTGTTTACCAAATAAACCCGTGCATAATACTGTATTGACTGTCATAGCGGTCACATAACCTGGGAGCAGAGTATCTTCCAATCCCTAGGGTTAGAGCAATCACTGCTGCAGGCTCTGTGTGCACAGCACAAGTTCAGTTCAATGCCACTAACTGCTGCTGATTTTTTACATTTCTACGGGTGAGGGAGGTGCATCCTGGAAGACTTAACTGGGCAGATGAGAGCTAAAGCAATTACCTGGAATATGTTCTTAGCCCTAATAAATCTGACCAAAAGACTGAACAGCTGCAACATTACTTAGGCTGCATTTACATGTGTGGCATTTTTTTTTTTTAATGGACCGCCAACGTGCACAGGACCATTTTTGTGCCATGCTTTTAGGGCTGCAACCAACTAAATCGATTAACTGATAGTCGATAATGAGAATAGTTGGCAACTATTATCATATCGATTAGTTGGTTAAATCCCCTAGTTCTCTCCTCCACACTGGGAGGCGGGCACAGCAAGCAGTGGGCTATTGCACCAGCCCACTACGTGCTGTATTTACATTCAGCTGTTATCTGCGGAATCTTGCCACTACCTGGCTGAAGCTATTCAAGCGCCATGTGCTTACAATACAATTAACAACAAGTAATTTTTGGTTTCAGCCTGACAAATTCTGCTGCGGAGGGGTGTTGTGGTGCCATTCATTTTTAATGGCACTACAAATGTGGCTCCCACCCAGAATGTGATCGCCCGCACTGGAGCACTGCAAGGTACAGCAATGCCATGCGTTCCAGTGCAATTTCAAAAAATTAAGCATGCAGTTTTATTCAGAAGTTAAATGTTTGTTAACACTGCACTTGTGTATTTTATTTTAAATTAAGGATGATTTACATTTTATCGGATTAAAAGAAAATAAAAATCTGCCAAGTAATCTATTATGAAAATAAACATTAGTTGCAGCCCTACATGTGTTGTGGTGCACTACAATGCAGGTTGACGGTCTTCATGTGTTAGGATGCCATTCAAAATGAATTGCACCACAACACTTGTATCACATGTATCCATAACACAACTTGTGAGCCTGGCCTGTGTAACACTGTTCGGATAAAGGATTTCTTTTGAACAGATCTCCCGTGCATCCCTCCGTATGTTGTGGTTCCTCTCAATGACTGTCTTTACGAAACTTCAGTAACGTCATGGAGTGCAGTAAGGAAAGCAGCAGATCAGACTCCTGATGTGTGAACCAGAAGAAACGTCAGCAAAGGATTTCTCTTGAACAGAGGGCACTGCATGGGCAGTGGCATTGGTCAGTTTTCACCTCCTTTACAGGTATGTTTTTACTAGCATAATGACTCAATGACTGTCACTTTAAATTCATTAAAAGGAGAACTATGGGGTTAGGGCTTTTCCCCATAGTTCTCCTAAGGGTAACGGGAGGACATAAACCAGCGTCCTCCAAAGCTCAGTATACCACGAGCTACAGCTCGCAGTATACTGAGACGCCGCAGCTGAAACGGATCCCGACAATTATGTTTGGATCCGCCCAGCTGCGTGAGTGACAGCTGGCTCTATCTAGAGGCAGAGCCAACTGTACCCGCCCCGTCCGTTCCGCCAGTCAGCGCTGGAGGATCGGAGCGGGGAATCCAGTCCTTCCCATCACGGTTCTCTGCCGTGACAGGATCGAGAGGTGAGCGAACCCGGTATGTGTTCGCTCACTTCCCGATCTACTGAGCCGACCTGTGACAGTCTCATTGTCACAGGTCGGCTAGAACTATGAGGATAAGTGAAAAACACTCACCTCATAGTTCTACTTTAAAGCTGAACTCCAGCATTTTTGCCTTCAGTATTGTACAGGCTCCTGAAATAGCTTACTCCGTTTTCACTGCACACTGTAATCTTCGCACAGTGTGCATTAGAACTTGCAGCAAGTCGCATAGAGCTTGCCTCATTTCCTGGCTGGAGCACATCTAGCATCAACCTTACTGTCCCTGGCCCATCCCTTCAGTTACTGGATTTCAGTACTTTTTCAATCGGTGGCTCAGCATCACATGTGGGCAATACCACAGCTTTCTGTTTTCAGGAAGCCATGTTCAGCACCCTGCCGGCCCCTCCCATTAGCCATGATCTGCCTGCACTGCAAAGAGAAGGACAAATACTTAGTGATGTCACTGGGTCTAAGATAAGGTATGGCATTAAAAAAGAAAGTTTTTTTTGTTTATAAAAAAACCCATTAGCAGGTTGTTGAAGGGGGAAGATGAGAAACCAGGGAAGGCAAAACATAACCAGAATAAACTTTAACCTTCCTGTTCACTGTAGTATGAGATTGTGTGTCATCTGCACTGGCTAGAACTGTGACCACTTTTTTGGGACCTAAAGCAATGAGATAAATACCATTTGGGTCCCATCCAAAGACTCTAAAAACATTTTTTATGGTTGAGCACTTTTGTTTTTAAACCCTGGACTGGCATATCAATCATACTGTATGAGCAAATGTGGGCAAGGTTTGGGATATCCAAACACTGCTAAAGGAGTGTTTTTGCATGCAGAATGTACAGGAGGTGTGCTGGAGAGTACAATGTCAGATGGGTATGTACAGCAAAGAAATATGGAAGACGGTACATGCAGTAGGCTTTGAGGGTGGACCGTACATGTAGGAGAGGTGTGGCGGAGGGTAGGATGGTGGACATGACATTTAGGAGAGGAGCGTCAGGGCAAGATGGCAGAAAGTACACATAGGAAAGAAGAATATGGTGGCGTACAATATTATTACATAGTATTTATATAGCGCCAACAGTTTGCGCAGCGCTTTACAATATAAGGAAGACATCACAATACAATTCAAGACAAGATGGTAAGGAGGGCCCTGCCCATAAGGGCTTACAATCTAAAAGGAGGGGGAGGAGAAGAGTGGCAGAGGTAAGATGGCAGACAGCACATGTAGGAGATGAGTGGTGGAGGGTATAATGCCAGATAATACATGTGGAAGAGGAGTGGCAGATGGTACCTTGTGGACAGCATGTGCAGGAGAGGTGTGCCAACAGGTATGATAGCAGACTGTGTGCAGGAGAGAAGGCTATGGTGGCTAGTTGTGCATTGGTGGAGGCTCCAGACTCTGGAGCCAAAGATGAGCTGGGGGGGCCACTGTAACGCAATGACAGGGGCGGTAAGCAACACCTGAGCACCAGTCTTCTATAACTGGAATGGGAAAGACATATTTAATTAGGACTCATCATTTGTGCTCTACCCAAGCTTATACATACAATTCTTGATGTGCATTGCATGACATTTCAAATCACCAAATGAGAAAAAAAAAACGTATTCAAAATAAACTTAAGAGGAACTGAATCAATTTAAATGAGAACTCTCAAACAATTTGGAAATACATACACATAGCTTGGGTGTACTGTAAACTACTGGCAAAATTAAAAAAGTTCTGGTCTTGGGTTTATTTTACTCCAATGCTACAGTTTGGGAAAGAATGAATTAATGACTTGTTTACAGAGACTGCGTAGGTGCAAAGGGCATGCAAAACACTGAGTGTAAACACAAGAAAAGCCAATCAAAGGTCACCCATCAGAAATGCGAGGCAGAATCATCAGCTACCCACTTACATTACACCTAGGCTGCTTTTTTCTAAGAAAGCAGTGGTATTTTTTTCCCCTTTAAACCAAAGTGCTTTCAGTTTGTAATATCGGCTGTGGGTCCCACCCTGCAGCAGGAAATGAACTAAACACCAAATACCAATTCCCCATACACCGTGACATTGCTTCCTGTTTCTAAGTAAAAGAAAGCACGTGCACTGCAGCAATGTTTTCCAAACCACTCCAATGTCATGTTTTCCACTATACCAGGTTAACTCTGCGAGGATCAGCTTGATGTAATCAAATCAATGCATGCTAAACAAGGAAAAGAAAACCTCAGCTGTTTAGCTGTGCATGTACATGGGGCAGCCATATTTGCACACAACATGCAGTGCTACACAATGGTTGCACTGTTTTGATCCTGTTCACAACGCAAGTCTATGTTCTGCAAACACCATAAATACAATGATCTCCCCTACACTGCGGATATCTAGTATCAACTGTTTTTACATCTGAGCTCTGGCCAGTAAATTTAATACATGGGTGTAAAGGTGTTTTCTAACCGTCCTCTGTAACTGAAGGTAACATTTGTTTGTGCTTAAAGAGAACAAAAATTTAATATACACCGATCAGCCAAAACTATATGACAGAGAGGTGAAGTGAATAACTGATTAGCTCATTACGATGGCTCCTGGAAGTGTGTGTGTGTGTGAGGGGGGGGGAGGGACACATTAGGTAGCAAGTCGCTGAAGCTGAGGTGTTGGAAGCAGAAAAAAAAAGTGCAAGTGTAAGGATTTGAGCAACCTGACAAGGGCCAAACTGACGGTTAGATGACTGGGTCAGAGCAACTCCAAAACTGCAGCTCTTGTGGATGTTCCTAGTCTGCAGTGGTCAGGACCTAACAAAAGTGGTCCAAGGAAGGAAAACTGGTGACAGGGTCATGGGCAGCCAAGGCTCTTTGATGCACGAAGGCTGGCCTATGTAGTCCAAACCAATAGAAGAGTAGGTCTGCAGCGAACAATGACTTCATAATCCTTCAGCGGATAATTTTTACCATAAAAATCACATAACGAAAAAAAAAAACAACCCATCCTTAATATAAAATACGCAACGATACCCGACATGTGCAGCGCAATCGTCAGTTTTCTATGTAGGTGCACCTGACTTGTGTTTCCATTAGTACACGCACGTTTGCAGAGTTGGGGGGACTTTTTACATTTCCCCCCCATTGTTATCACATGGGGGGCGGCTCACAAGCCCCCTCTGATGGCACATTGGAGGTGACCGGTTCTCTTTAAGGTGACCCCTAGTATCCGCTTTCCACTTCACTCGATTCAGCTGCTGAATGTCATCAGAGCAGGCAGTGGCTTGGAGCAATATCCCGCCTGTTATTGGATATTTTAAATTGAAATAGCCAATAGCAGGCTGGCTACTGCACCCACCCAATGCCAATCGGCAGAAGAGGGAACTCGAGGAAAAAGTTCTCCATCAGGTCCTCCTCTGCTGTTTGACAGCAGGCAGGTGCGATAGCCAGCCTGCTATTGCAATTTAATATATCCAATAGCAGGCTGGCTCTGGTTTCCAGCCGCTGATGGGAGACTTGACACCAGTGTTCCATCAATCTCTCGGATTGGAGTCCAAGGGATTGATAGAACACCGGCAGAAAAAGGGGGCACGGGGAAGCCAAGAAGGGAAAAGGGGAGGCAGCGGAGGAGGAAGGGGGTGGGCAGCGGAAGAGGAACGGAGATTGCAGAGTCACAGTTGTCTCTGCTCCCCACTGGTGCCAGCTGCAGTGGCCTGTGTCCCCGCTGCCTCTGCCGATACTAAAGACATTGTTGCTGACCAAGTACACCTTCATGAAAATGCTACTCCCTGATGGCAGTGGCCTCTTTCAGCAGGATAATGCACCTTGTCACACTGCAAAGATGGTTCAAGAATGGTTTGAGGAAGAAAGTGTTCAAGGTGTTGATATGTCAAGAAATTCTCCAGAACTCAATCCAAATCGAGCATCTGTGGGATGTGCTAGAAAAAAAGTCCAATCCATCTTGCAACTTAAAGAATCTGCTCTGAGCATTCTGTAAAATGCTCCCTTCGATGCCTGCACTCACAAGCCCAATTAAGTAGACACACGTCACTTTATAAGATAAGCCTATTAAGGACTACACTGAACCCCTCAGGGTTCAGCATGGTGTTGCAGCATAAATAAAGGTTGGGCAGAGCAGGTCGGGAAGTGTAGTAGCCCATCCTGTTCTGGGTTTAAAGTGTTGTAAATCTAGATTACCCATTTGTTCACCACTACTGTACAAAGTGGTTATACTAGCAGTGCTCTTCCTGTAAGCTTGAACAAGTCTGGTTATTATCTGACCTCTATCATTAAAGCGTTTTAACTAGCACAACTACCAGCAGAAACACGCATACAAACCAACCCCTAGATCTCTCCCATGGCAGGTGCACTTTAAAGTGATTTAAATTTAACGTTACTAAACAGCCAATCCAGCACTCACGGCTTCCAAAATGACTTCACATGTCCCTGAAACATTTCTCCATGAGATTAGTCATTAATGGAAGGACTGGATTACCTGCACAAATTATAGCCAGAATCTTACTGTGGAATGGTACATGGTGCACCACTTCATATTTATAAAGCCCTACTACAGCCAAATGTGTTCCTTACTGCCAAATAAAGCGAGGAAGGGTTCGAGACGGTGTATTAACTTTTCAATTCATGGAGCACTGGAACATGTCCCCTCCATTTTTATCCCCACAACAGAGCTAGAAATAAGGGAACAATGGACAGTAAGCCATCAGCAAAACAAGCCTTGTCACTGTTCACACCAGAGCACCGCGGTGACACACTTTCACTGGATTTGTTTCCCCCATGTTTGGCATGCATACCCATTGTCCTCAATGGGTCCCCGGAAAAAATTCGGGAAAGTAGTAGATCGCGACTTATGCAACCTGCGTTCTTTCCCAATGCGCAGGAAAAATAGTGTTCACTCAGTTGCGTTTGGGGTCCCATTAACTAGTAATGGCACCAGAAGCACATTCTGCATGTGAACGTTTCATGAACGCACAGCAAACCGCACACATTTGTGTGTGTTTGATGCACGCTCACGAGAAGCCCATACGTGAAGGGCGACTAACAGAAGAGGAGATTCTCAGTATTTAATGGTGCTGTGTAGTGAAGTTTGACATGTAGACCAGGGAAGTGTGTGTGTGTGTGTGTGTGTGTGTGTGTGTATTTTTTTCAACCGCACAACATTGCAGTACCGAGTTCCAGTGCGGGCGATCACACTGTGGGCGGGAGGCGTGTTTGGGGTGCCATTGAAATGAATGGCACTGCAATGCACCTCCCGCAACAATTTGTCAGGCTGAAACTCAGGTGACTATCCCACATTTTACAATTTTTAAAAAAAATAATTGTATTGGAAGCACATGACACCTGAAAAACTTTAGCCAGGGAATGACAGCTGCCAGTGGCAAGATTCTGCAGACAGCAGCTGAAGGTAAATACAGCAGGTAATGGGGCTGGTGCAGTCGCCAGTCTGCTTTTGGCCATTTCAAATCGCAATAACAGACTGCCCACTGCTTGATGTGCCCTCCTCCCAGCATGGAGGAGAGAGCTAGGGGATCCAACCAA